ATATTCAGAGCAAATCAATACCATTATCTGTAGCTCTCCCTTAAAAGGCCATCTAATGCACTCAAATTTTGACATGAAACTGAAATAAATGTAGTATGATAATATTTATATGTAGATCTGATTAGTGAAGGCAGAGAAGATATTGATCATTTGCTGTTAAATTGGGGACTCCATTTATAGGCAGACATAAACCTATAACACAGTGATTTCATCAATCTGTGAAAATAATACATGCTCATGTGTGCACCTAAATAGCATATCACAGCTTCTATGCAAACATCTCCAGTTAAACTCGTCGCACTCCTGGACCATGCTTTGGGATCAATTTTTCTACATAATTTCTGTCCGACTTTAAGCTCTACTCTGTCTGATAGCTCTGTGATCTTCACATACTTTAAATGCTAAGTGTAAGGATAATATTGAACTTTCATACCTTTATGGTTGTGACAATAAAAAGATGCTATAAATCTACCTTGCCGTGCATCGACTTAGCCATTATATTCTGTGTGTTTACCCTCGTAGGAACTTTATGAATGATTGAGAGGACTTAAGAGGCCTGCTTGTGAGGAGAAAAATCTCCACCAGCACCCTTTATTGATTCTAAAATGCTATCGATATCTCTTACAATTTACAAGGATCAGAAAAGGTCTACTATCTTGAAAATTTTAACAATAATATTTAGAAAAAAAATTTCAACAAAAATAACAATGAGCTAGGAACAGGCAAGGGTTCTCAAGCTCTCTCTGAACAGGTAAGGTTTCTCCAAAAAAATATCCAGATGCTCAAGTCAGAGCAAAAGCAGGTCTCAACCAACTGCTGATTTTTCTAATTTAATCAAGAAGTTAGGAAACCAAATACCTCCAGGCAACATGAACTGGTTACGATACCATCAGCCACAAAAGATGTCTATCAGAGTGCAAAGTGTGGGGGATCAAGTCAAAATGAATACCAAGTGAACCATGACAATCTCAAATTCTGATTTATCACCTGATAAAGCCATTGTCAAAATTACCCTGTCAGCAATCCAGTATTTAATACCTTTAAATGTTACACAATGTTTTAATTGACTGTGAAAAATATTTGATGATCATCTGAAGACTTAGAAGCACTCTCACCATCTACACATCCTTCCAAGACACCCAGGGTACCCTTAATCAACCAGACTTATGGCACACTCTCCTCAGCTCTTGGACTTATTTGTCATCTTGTAGCTAACCAGACTTATGGGAAGTGGACAACATAATCATCTTGTTTACTTCTTCAGTCAGATTGACCTAGACTATGCACATATTGGATAAAGATTCCATGTAAATGCTAATTCTATAAATCTCATATATACACCTACACTACATACATATATGATGCAGAGCCAAAGTCATTGTCTAGCCTTGTGTAGTAGGTGCTAATTGTTTACAGACAATCCCATGTACACACATTCATAAAGCACCAAAAAATCCTCAAGAGAACATTCAATATACTGGAAAAAAAATGTAGGAATCACTTTAAAAAATGAATGACAATTAAGAGGAAGATAATAATGGGATAGAAAATCATTTAACCAATATTCCAAAATATTTAATCTCAGAAGATCTTTCTGATTTCAATATAATAACAACTACAGATCTATTAACCATCAACTAAAATAATTCCCCTTCCCCCATCATAACAATTCATTATACAAATCAGTCCTTATTGCTAATTCTTTTCTAAAGAGAATTTCACTTTTTTGTAACTTAAATTGATAATAGATACGACCAATTTGAGCTTCAACATGAAATATTAAATAACAGATAATGGAGATCTTTCCACCAGGAGTCGGTCTCAACTAAATTATCCTGTACCTTCATTGTCAGACAAAAAGGATTAGGACACTGCATCAATAACCTCACCACGATCTTTCTCAAACTCATAACCATACCTCCCATCTTAAAGCTTGAACACGCTGCTGTGAGCGTCTATTCACAACTTTCTTCTTCAATATATATAGATACAAAAACCCAGGCAGTGGGTCCTGAATGTTGTTTTTCTGGTTTTCTTTGTGAGGATTTTTTTGAGACCCTGAGCTTTATTATCATGCTAATGATGTTTGATTCGTTGTGGAGTTCTGAGGTTTTGATACATCTGTATATCACTCTGTACATTACACACTGACGGGAGGCTCTTGGTCATCCGAGCGTTTTATATCTTTTCCATAAGCATTTCATTAGACATTCTCTGTAGAGGCTTGCTCTTAGTATCCCACTCTTTGGGTAAGATAGGGTCTGCTCAATGAATTAATTATCCATTTGCAGTACCACAAACATTAAACCAGTGCTAATTAAACCTGTATCTATTTAAGGAGCTGCAAACACTGGCAAGGTTCAGCCAATTTCTAAACATATTTAGTGAGAATCAGAATTAGAATATTTAGTTACATCAATATTTGCCAAAGAAATGTCAATATTACTTCAGAGTTTTTGATCATATATAAATTAAAGGTTTCATACAGCTAAACCAATCATAGAATTAAATCCCCTGAAGCAGATTTTCAATGTAACTGCAATCTCTTCTATTATAGCAAGCAATGTAAATCATAACTTAATTAGACTGAGATGCAACAAAATTCTATCAGTCTTCTACATAATTTTTTGAATGATTGAATTTTATGGTCTTTACCCTAGGCAGATGCAGACATACTTTCTTTCCTACATTTCAGCATTAATCAAAGATACTTGTATGATTTCAGCTACAACTGAATATTATCATACGATTTTCCTGCTTCTGTGCAATATGTCAGTTTAAAATTCTTTGCAATGTTCAGAGCAAACCGAATTCAGAAATGACCCATATTTACAAAGAACAAATTGCATAATAACTTTACGGATTAGGATCAAAATGATCCCTTCCTAGGACCATAAATCTAAATCGGTCCGCTAATTCACTTCATTGTCAAAATGTTATTGTGTTAACAACATAGATTTTGACCAAACAAAGTCAAATCCCAGGCTTAGATCCGGATTTCTATTCTTCTTTACAATTATATTCATGTGGTCACTAACTACACACAACATGCTGTGGGCTTTTCAATATTCTAAACAGAAAGTCATGGCTGCATTGAGAAATGTATACAATGTGTATAGAAAAAATCTCGGCAAACAAGATCTTTTAGCTCTGTAAATATATCTGAACCCCTCTGAAAACTTTCCATTTCCCCTATTCCCTTTCTTCATTTTTTCCTCTTCTGGAGAAATCTAAACACTTTTACCTAGATATTTACCTTACTGGACATTTTTCTTCATTTAAATATAAAACAAAAATACAAACCTTCATAGTGTAAATTTATTTTGAACTGGCCATTCAAGAAAATTACATGGAAATTGAGTTACTGTATATTTACCTGTGTGCAATTCATTGTCAAGGTATATATTTTCATACAAATCAGAGTCCAGTCTATATCACATTTACTTATCCCAATGCACATTAACGGTCCCCTAGAAGTTATTAGTTTTTTCACTTTTCCTTTTTTCCTCCTCGCATCAAGTAAGAGAATGCTAATATGAAAATCAATATAAGTCCTTGTTAATTGAATTTCAGCAAGTTATATACCATCTTTTACGTTCTCGGTGCAACCAACATCAGATTGGGAGCCAATTTATTGCCGTCTTCCTATAGTGTCCACTTTTTAATCCCACTGCAAACACCAGAGAAATGTTGTCATCATCATCATTACAGACAGTCATGATGGATTCATTTATATCAAATCAATACAAGCCTTATGAGGGAGAAATCAGAATGTCAAATAGACAAGCAACGAAAAAAATCATTACCAGATTTACTAGCACAGATTTCCATACGAGGACTAATTATCACCTGTTCTTAATGGTGGTAGAGTGATCACAGATCTTTGTTTAGTATACACACCTTTAATTGGGCTCCTCCAGTCCCCTGTATTGTCCAAGTCCTCCACACAATGTGAAAAATCCACATGACGTCCTGCATAAAATGAAGCTGTCCATCCAAAAAGCAGAGGTATTTGTGTGACTGTTAGTGGGATCAGTGCACAGCGTTTGGGATTATAGTTTCCACAGGGTAAAATGTTAGTCAGAATAATGGAGTAAAATAAAAACTTGTTACAAGGTTTTTCTCCTCATGCATTGTCTTCTTCTGTGTTGCTTTTTCTTCTTCTGTCTATCATGCGAAATCCTCAGGAAAAAAGGTTGCGAATATGGAAGGGGAGTGAGTGAAGGGGGAGAACAAAATTAAAAAAAATACCGAAGGTTAGGATCTGCTACAGGTGAATACGATAAGAGACTAAAAGAACCGATTTTACGCTTTTTTGTACTTTAAAAGAACCCCTGTCACCAACTTTTAAAAAAAATGAATTGAAAACTTTTTAAGTGGAAGAAAAAAAAACTAAGGATGGATGATATATTACATGCATGCGGACAAAAGCTGCACCTGGAAAGTGCTAAAAACTTGGGGAAATAATACAGAGACTGCACGCGCTATGGAAATGTAAAAAATGCTATTTTTACATTTTCTGGTATAGCAGCGTGCGAGAGATTTTTCACAAGAACTCACCCGGTAAGATAGAAATAAAAATACAAATGTTAAAAAGTGAAAGGCGAAAGCTACCTGGATGCACGTGAAACATACCTGGGTATACACTAGCAGAGGGAAAAGGCAGGGTTGACACACAGGATAACACAGCCAAAGGAAAGATGCTAAATAGAGGTGTGCTCAAAGGATTATGAATATCGTGTCAGATGGGGACGAACAACGTAGCCCGCACCTCCGCGAAGACAAAAATGATAATTAATAAATGAAGACATTATGTTATGAGAAACATTTATTTTATATTTCATTCAGTTAATTTTTTCCAAATATTGAGTTGTCATATGATTAAAATTCTGCTCTATTATCAAATTTATCATTTAAATAACTGCGGATGAATATATGAGAGGAAATAATATGCATGGTGTAAAGGTCAAAAGTCAAAGGAGGTCACAGTGAGAAAAACATGGCAGCCTCCACGAAGTACTAGATTTTCCTCCAGTATTTTTTATTGGGATGTTCTTCGCGTAAGAGAAGGAGTTACTGCAAAAATTGTTATGGCATTCAGGGATCTTTACAACAAAGAAATAGAATCAAGGAGGGAATTTGAATTTCCTCAGCTAAAAGGTAGTGTAACAATCCTTTGAAATGTTTGTTTACATTTTTTTGACTACACACACATGTGCGAGGTCAAAATCGCCTTATCTTAATAAATATTTATAGAACACATGTCGCTATCCTTCCCAGGGAGTGACAACTGACCTCGTTTATCTTATCTTTAGATTAATGTGAAGACATCCCCAAAATTGACAAACGATCAATATTGTCACAATTTATATCCGTATTCCAGAGTTTCCTCCTCCTGCTCTGAAATCGACATTCAGAGAGTTGACATAATACACAAACAAGATTTAATAAAACAATTTTTGACATTCTTAAATAAAAAAAAAAAAGGAGTTCTCCCAATACTGACAAAACTCATTGCTTTTTTTTAAATATCTATGATACACCGACAACAATATGGTGACAAAAAAATCTGCATAAAGGGAGAAAACTCTTCATCAAAATTTTATACATTTTGTTGTATAATTTTTTTTACTGTAAAGAGGATTGTGCTTCTTTCTTTTCTCATTTTATGACATGTTTTGATTCACTGTATAGTTAAAGGTTAAAGTTATAATGTGATAATGATTAAACAAAAACTTGGAGGAGTTATTATAACTATGTACAGTAATGGTGTTAAGACACTTAATTCCTTTACCGGTACTTGTCCAGTTTTTGTCTTTCAAATTATAGATTTTAAGCTACTCAGATTTCTGACAGAGTATGGAATTAAACATGCATGTACACAAACATTGCAATGTATTGATTTGACATTGAATCTGAAGTGAGAGTTCTATTTCAGCTAGTCACTGATATCATTAATTGATTTGCCTAAGTCTGGAAAGCTCATGTTCTCCTCTGTCAACATTGCTTAGAGGTATTATTTATTAGAATGATATTTATGATATCAGCCTAAATATATTTTAAACAGATTCTCAGGACTCTGACGTACAGTTCTCGGACATGTGGCAGCACTTAATCTAACATTTTTTTCTGAAATATTTTTCTTTGCAGTATGACACAAGGTTTCAGACTGGCAAATAATTTTCCAAAGTTTCCTTAATATTTCAGCTCTGAAAACACTTAAAATTTATTCCATATTCTAAAAAGGTTTCCATAAATTATGTACTTTACATTCAGAATCTGTAATTCGACTTTCATAATTCACAGTGTTCACAAATGACTCAAGCTCACAGATTTTATCATCCCAAAACCAGCCATTCACAATGCCACACTTTTTGAAAGCTACATAACATATATTTATTTTCACAGGCTGGTTAGACTCCTGGTGATTTGCAAAATAAAAAAAAGTCTCTTATACAAATATTAGGTGGTTTACACTGTATATAATACATATATAATGTATGAAAATTACGATAGAAATTAATTATTGCATTGATCATTGATCAACATAACAAAATATAAGAAAATCAGCATTTTGTATGTGAAAAATTGACTTGATTTAATAAGTTGTTTGAGAAATTTTGATCACCATTCTGTAATATTCTGTTGTTCATTCAAGCTTTAAGGTGGAATGACCCTCTGATAAGAGAGATAACTTCCTAAGGAAATAATTCAAAGGTATAAAAAAAATTGTTTTATCAGAGTTTAGTAATTAGGACCAAAATAGTCAATTCATTCATTAACCAATATATGTGATTGTAGGTCACAATCATTGGCTTGTGTTTTCTTTCTTAATATTTTTGATAGTTTCCAGTAACATTTGACCTAAAACATTTTTAACTACCTATTAAAATTGGAATATTTCTATCTTTTAACAATTAAACAATTTCTAAAGCACTACAGTTATTTATCAAGAACCAGATATTGAATTTTCATTTTAGTTCATTTTTCCTTTATTAATATAAAAAAAGATGACTAAAAAAAAAACTCTTCCTGATGGATGCATTTTTTTTTCCAGGCATCATAACATTATGATATTCTGACTTAAACAGCAATACCGGTACTTCATTATGGTTTCCAATATCCATTTTATATGTATGAATCTAAATAATATTATTTTCATGCATATGATAAATTATACCTTTTATTTTTAATTTTATGTTGTGATAATAAATTATTGCTCTTTCTATTCACTGTATTAAACTTTCTTCATATCATGATTAGACATAATATTCATTTCTGGAAAAAAAAGTAAGCATACCATTTTCCATTGATATCTAATGCTATTACATGTATTGATGAAAATCAATGTTGTTAATTTTAAAATTTTTGTGAAATTTAGAACAGAGAGTCATTACGCCTTAAGGACAAGAAAATGAATGTTGCCAACAATTGCCAAGGAAACATAACTAAGTAAAACTGATTTAGTCTTATATTGGCATGTATGTAAATGTTTTTAAGGCAGATCAATGTCTTCTAAAGACAGCCGAATGTATCACTTGACCTTCCCAAAATATCAATTCAAAGAAACAGAGGTTTTTCTGAAGAATGTCCTTTGCCATTATCATCTTGTAATAAGTGCATAATATATATATATAAAGAGAAAACGACAACACAAGTTGTAAAACGTTAGCGCTTTCATTTCAAATTCTTCAGATGTTTTACTTTAAACATTTGACGTTAAAATGTTATGGTAATGACGTTGCCAACAATAAATGACGTCACATTGAATATTCGGGAAACAAGCAAAAATGTAATTGTTGAAGAGCATATAAGAATCAAACAAATATAAAATAAATTATACTAAACTGTTCAAAGTTGGTTTTAAAGATTTAATAAAATGTTTTTCTTTTTCTCTTCTTTCCACCGTGCTGCCAGTTAAACAGTTTGTAAAAGAGAACAATGTCCATTACCGCAAAGGTCCAGATGTTCACTAACTTTGACCTGTCTATATTCCGGATGTTTAATATATGCTGTCTGTGGATTCGAATATGGGTACGGAGAGTAGTTCCAGTCTAACCGATGTAAAATTGCCCACATCCTCCACACATTATACAATATATGATGTTTTTAGAACCACAAGACATATTTGCTTTAACTTTAAAATTTTTGGTCCCAATTTTAAAGGTGTTCCCTTCTTTTATGTATGGACATGTTCCACAGAAGATACTCCTTCAATTCTCTTAGGCGTTCCTTTCTTCGTGACTCATCACTTACTATGGTACAAATTCTTCTTGATAAATTGTATGGTATTGAATGTTTAGTGTGAAACTTCCCCCCTCTCTCAAAATTGTTTGCAAAAACACATAAGGAATCATGATACAAAAATTGTATACATGGATTTATGTATACGGTACTTTTTGACTTATTTGGGTTGTAAATGATGCCTATAACTAATCTCAAATATGTTACAAAATTGTAGATTTTCTGGATGTTTTTAAATTCTTTTTGTCATCGCACTTGTAAATCTATATACCGGTAATTTTTTATCACTTTATAGGACATTATTTAGAAACCATAATGAATGAAATATGAAAATTTATGCAGCTCAACATATTCATTTTATTTATTTTAAAATGGATTTAAATGTTATTTTCATAATTTTTGAAAAAAAAAAGATTGTTTCTATCATGTGTACTTAAACTTACATAATTATATATATAGAGAGAGAGTCATCCAATACTCCAGGCTGCAGTGAATGAAATTTTAATTTTTTTTTTTACATGAAACAATTTCTTTCTTTTGAATGTATCTTGCTTATTTCTCATTCTTTTTTTTAATTGGAAATTTTAAAGAAAACACGAATTCAAAAAGTATATTGCTTTTGGGATTGCTTATTTTAAATATTTACATTAGTGTAATTTTCTTTATGAAATCCATTGAAAATCTACAACATTCAATACCCTATAACACACCCGAAACCTTATGTCATTGTGTGGTAGAATACACAGTAGGAACTATAATATGCATTTTCAATACTCTAGGATTGCAAAGATGTATATTTTTTGGCACAATTTAATTGAAAACAATTACCCTGTTAAATTATTGTAATAAAATTATAATTGTACGTTTAAAATTAATTTGTCGATTTTTTCCTTTGCAATATTCATTTGCATTAATTGACATTCCATGACGCAATGGCTCTTACGTCTATTAAGCACACCAGTTCCGAAAGGCACTAAATTCATAATAAATATTAACGAAATTAACAATTATGAAGAGGGAAAAATTAGAGAATGTAAATATATGCATTGAATTCTTATTTTTGGATGTCGTCGGTCCTATAACAGCACCTGTCCATTGCAGACAAATTATCATACCGCGCTAATGCACGATATTCAATTTGTCGGCACGGCCTGGGTGCTGTTATAGGATTGACGACATCCAAAAATAAGAATTCATTGCTTAAGTATAGGAAAAACACTACAGATTCACATTTCACTGATTCAGATTTCAATGAACAGAAAAAAAATCATAAAATATGGATTTGTCTTTCTTTCTTTTTTTCTTTTTTTTTTTTTTTTTTGTAGCAGAGTTGCTTTGCGTAATTCTATAGGAAATCTACTGAACAGCAGTACTAGACAGCTAGCTTGCATCTTTTGTTCGGTTTGTAATTAAAGTTAGGTTGTTCCTGTTACAGATTAAAAGAAATAATTTATTAATGCATGTAACATTGTTGATTCTTTAATAGGACTGGGATGATTTCCTAATACAATAATGATTGAATCCTATTCTGCTACAATGATGAAGTTCTGTACAAAATGTCTGAATAAATCTGGTCCAGTATCGATTACACATAACTCTGCTAAATATATTAAGGAATATAAATTCATTTTATTCTGAATGTTATTTCTCTTGCAAGTAAAAAAATGAAGAGTATTTGATGGTTTTCTTCTTTACCGAAAAAAATGTCCATTTGTTTCTAAAATAATTTAAAAGCTTGAATGATTGTAATGAAAAGTATCACAGATTGTATCATGTTACATCATCAGTATTTCATGATATCATATCACAGGTTACCTGTATGGTCCTAGTTCTTATCACAGATTGTATCATGTTACATCACCAGTATTTCATGATATCATATCACTGGATACCTGTATCATCCTAGTTCTTATCAC